CACTCCAGCCTGGCGATGGAGTGAGACTCTGTCTCAAAAACAACAACAAAAACTGCATGGGATCCTCACAGATGCCTGCTGGCATCTCAAGGTAAGGAATCAGGCTTCTGGAGACATTTCCTCTCATCCAAATCCTTACTCCTCTTTGCTGGCCTGTCTCCAGACTTCCCTTTTGTAGAGAAAGCAGGGAATACTGCTGTCTTCCCTTCCGAGACCATGTACATCCTTAAGAGTACCTCAGACTTCCCACAACATGTTATTTCTAGTTCCTCATCCCATAAATATTTGTTGAATTACTAGACAAACTGCTCAGCTTCATCTTCCAATTCCTTTTATGTGATGAGTGCTTCAGAGCTTACAGAGGGCTTCCACATGTGTTATCTCCTTAGAGTAGAGGTTGGGCTGGGATCTCTGGCTTTGATTGGTGACGGTTAGTGTGGTCTCAAAAAGAAAGAATGCCTGGACTCCTTGCTTCTCCTATTCCCAGTGTCTCTTTTTGGCAAAAGGCTTGAGTTCTTTGTGTCATTCTACTTGGGTTCTGTTGTCCCACAGTGGCTGTCTGTGTGGCTACAGGGTAAAGGCTGTCGTTATGTAATGTCTTTAGTGACCGCACACAAGATCTAAAAGAAGTAGCTTTTTTTTTTTTTTTTTTTTGCTGAATTTAAGAAGATTGTTGTGCTTTGGCTTGAAGCACTGGTTGTTGCTGCGGTGGTTTGGCGGTTCATATCTGGTCACTGGCCTTTGATTTCTGGAACCTTTAGAAAGAGGCTGCCTTTTCTCCTCTCCCTGACCACTGATTGCTGAAACCACAAGACATATGGAAATAGATTTCAGGGACTAGCCAAAAGGCATTCTGGTAGTTTGACTCACATGGTTTCAAAGGCTACCATTTTCTGATTGTGGCTTGTTACACCCTATACAGAGATACTACTAGTACTTAGCTGTGTTAGGAATATTTAGTATCTTTAAGTTTTGCTTTATTTAACATTAACATCTTAGAATGGGCGTTCAAAGAGAAGTTTAGGACAAGTCCCTTTCTAGATACAAGCTTTCACCTAGATGTTTAGGAAGTTAAAACAACAACAGTAACAGAGAATCAGCTTGATACTTTGCCTTTCACATCTGAACTCTTTTGATATTGCTTTGATAGGGCCAGCACTTGGGATAGAACCATTTATCTGCTGTAAATAGATAAATGTTGGTGTTTATATAGTAGTGTTAGGGAAGCACTATGAAGGAGGAACTCACAGAATTCTGATAAAGGCCAGTTGTACATAAAATAGATATAATAATGCCCAGGACTTTTGTGTTGCTCTAAGGAGATAACACATGTGGAAGCCCTTTATAAACTGAAGCACTGCTCACACAAGAGGAATTGGAAGGTGAAACTCAGCAGTTTGTCTAGTAATTCAACCAATATTTATTGAGTGCCTACTGTCGTTATGTAATGTCTTTAGTGACCGCACACAAGATCTAAAAGAAGTAGCTTTTTTTTTTTTTTTTTTTTGCCTGAATTTAAGAAGATTGTTGTGCTTTGGCTTGATTTCAGTACCTGAGGCAGGTACTGAAATATGCCTCTTTTGGAACTTCTGCATTGTTGCCCTTAGGTTCCCAGAGATACTCCTATGCTTATAATTCCTTTTACTTGTAACTTTTTGGAGAGGGATTAATAGAAATCAGGACATGGAAAGTTGTCTGGATGGTAGGAAACCTTTCTTGCTAGTGCCTCTGTCTTCTTTACTATTCTGTGTTTGAAATTCTACCTCTTCAGGTATTTGGCAGAAAATGGCCACTTCATGCTTTTCAACTTTATCTCATCTCCAGTTCCATTCACAGGCAGAAGAGAAACGGTTCCATTTGGATCCTGATTCTAAGTTCTTAGGAGAAGAAATCTGGTTGGCACAACTAGGTCACATGTCTAAACCTGGTCCAACCAAGTGCTTGTAGTAAGGGGATGAGAGTTACGTAGTTTCCACTTGGCAGCTGAGGGTCCTGTCAGTTGCGGTGGAGGAGAGGAGACAATCATCCAGTGTCATGGTGAACATGACTGACAAGATCCTTGACCTCACAGAGCTTATAGTCAGTCTGTCAGGAAAGAAAGACATTTGTATTAGTCCGATCTTATGCTGCTAATAAAAACATACCCGAGACTGGGTAATTTAGAAAGGAAAGACATTTAATTGACTCACAGTTCAGCATGGCTGGGGAGGCCTCAGGAAACTTACAATTATGGCGGAAGGAGAAGCAAACACATCCTTCTTCATTGGGTGGCAGGAGAGAGAAGTGCAGAGTGAAGGCAGGGGAAGCCCCTTATAAAAACCATCAGATCTTGTGAGAACTCAGTCGCTATCATGAGAACAGCATGGAGGTAACCACCCCCATGATTCAGTTACCTCTCACAGGGTCCCTCCTGTGACACATGGGGATTATGGGAACTACAATTCAAGATGAGAATTGAGTAAGGACACAGCCAAACCATATCAACATTACACAAATGATTGTAGGGGTGGTATGGGTTGTATGACAGCTAGACCTAAACTTGAGCAGGAGATCATGGAAACCCCTGCAAGGAATGGCGGTGGGTAGGGTTAACCAAATGAGGAAGGGGGATGATGTGGATCCTGGGAGGGCAGAGGGTGGTGGGTGAGCAATGAATGCTTTAGGCAGAAGTGGCAAAGGAAAGAAAATGCCCAGCAGTAAGAAAAAATCTGGCTATTTTGCAGTACAGAGAACCAAATCTTTAAAATGTACAATGGCTTGCTTATGCGGCCATTCTCATTGACCTAGACTGGAAGTTCTTTGAGGGCAGGGACCATCTTTTTTTCTATTGCCTTTGGAACCAATTGGCATGTGGAGAATTTTATATGGCAGGGCACATTTAGTTTCGTTAGGCAGTTTCTAAGTACAGCTTCTTTCCAGCTTATATCTGCTCTGAAATCTTATATGTCCATTACCATTCACCGGAAAGATGGATTACATACCTTACAGAGTGTGCTTTTGATATGGGTAGCTGTATCCCCACCCAAATTTCATCTTGAATTGTAGCTCCCATAATTCCCTCGTGTTGTGGGAGGGACCTGGTGGGAGATAATTGAATCACGTGAGTGGTTTCCCCCATGCTATTCTCATGGTAGTGAATACATCTCACGAGATCTGATGGTTTTATCAGGGGTTTTCCCTTTTGCTGGGCTCTCATTTCTCTCTCCGGTCTGTTGCCGTGATTGTGAGGCCTCCCCAGCCATGTGGAACTGTGAGTCCATTAAACCTCCTTTTCTTTATAAATTAGCCAGTCTCAGTATGTCTTTATCAGCTGTGTGAAAATGGACTAATACAGCTTTCTATCTCTCCAGATTGGCAAAGAGGGTTTTAAGGGAAATTGTGGTCATTTCTGGAAGGATCAAGAATTGTCAGTTTTTCTTTCCTGTATAAGTACTGCTTTTATATTATTCCTACCCCCACCAAGCTCCTGAACAGATGTTTCAATGGGCATTGTTGGCTATGCTTTTGTTTTGAAAAATTTGAAATATTATTGAAAGAGGAGATGGTAGAAAAACCCCATAATTGATTCTAATATATATTTAATTTGGCAGAACTTGAGAGAGACTTGCTGGGATAAGGCGGGACATTTCTTTGATCTCCCAGACTTTTTATCATGGAAGGCAACAGGTGTCACAGCACGGTATGTTAATTACAAGTTGGATTGTGTTTGCATTCTTCCATTCTCGGATGTCTGTGTATATATTGCTTTCTTAACTCTCTTTGACTGGATATACTGTTGGTACATCTGCATGTGATTTTGCATACTTGAAACATCTTGAATCTATCTTCCACCTCCAATGCACATGCCCAAACACTGTTGTTCCTATTAACCCTGGAATGTGAGTATCCAAGGTGAAGACCATTCATTAAAATTGTTCACGTTTGAAAGAGATGCAAAAAATCCAGAGTGAAATGTGGGTTTTTCCAAAGGCACTTTTTACATGATGAATAAAAGGAAAAAATACACACACGCGCGCGCGCGCGCGCACACACACACACACACACACACACACAGAGTCATGCGTTTCTTAAGGACAGTGATACATTCCGGGAAATGTGTTGTTAGGCGATTTCATTATTGTTGCAAACATCATAGAGTATGCTTTCACAAATCTAGATGGTGTATTCTACTGCACACCTAGGCTGTGTGGTATAGCCTATTGCTGCTTGGCTACAAACCTGTAGAGCATGTTACTGTACTGAATACTGTAGGCCATTGTGCACAATGGTACTTATTTGTGTATCTAAACATAGAAAAGATATAATAAAAACACAATGTAAAAGATAAAAAATAGCATACTTACATAGGGCGCTTATAATGAATGAAACTTGCAGCACTAGAAGTTGCTCTGGGTGAGTCAGTGAGTGAGTGGTGATTGAATGCAGAGGCCTAGGATATTACTGTACACTTCTATAGACTTTATAAACACTGTACATGTAGGTTACACTAAATTTATTTTAAAAATTTGTTTAATAATTGTCCTTTGCTTACTGTAGCATTTTTTACTTTATAAACTTTTAAACTTTCTTACTCTTGTAATAACACTTATCTTAAAACAAAAACACATTATACAGCTGTACACAAATACTTTCTTTATATTCTTATTCAATGAGCTTTTTTCTATTAACTTTCTTTTTCACTTTTTAAACTTTTTTGTTAAAAACTGAGATACAAACATACACATTATCCAAGGCTTACACAGGGTCAGGATCATCAAGATGTCACTAGGTGATAGGAATTTTTCAGCTCCATTAATATCTTTTGGGACCACTGTCATATATGCAGCCTGTTATTGACTGGAATGTCATTGTGTGATGTATAACTCGTCTGTGTGTGTGTGTGTGTGTGTGTGTGTGTGTATGTGTATTTTGGCCTCTAATGTTAACTAGAAGATTCAAGGAAGCTGATTTAACTGGATGGATGTGTTATATACTTGTTTGCTTTTTATGTAAATGTACCTCAGTTATCCCATACTTAGAAGTATATATGTTGAAGTCAACAACTATTTTTCAGTAAATTATGAATGTTAAAAATAGAGCATATGCTACACAGCAGAGACTTGTATAAAATATTCATTGAGTGTAAAATTGTGGCTGCTATAATTAACAGAGTGAGTGTATGTGTGGGGATATATAGACAGGTTGGATATGAAATCTCTAAGTATGACAAGCCTCTTGTCATGATGACCTCGGATTTAAGGAGATGTATAAGGTCAGGGCAGGTCTTCTCATCTGAAAAAGATTTAGAATCTGGGTTGAACAAACCAGTGAGGAAGGAAATCATTTCCTAGAGGATAGATAAACCTCTAATAATAGGGGAGGCAGGTATTGTATCTTAAAATCAGCTTATTCAGAGAGGGGCCAAATCCTACCCTCTTTCCTTCTTGTTTAAACTCAAGGGAAGCCGGAAATAGCAGTACCATTTCTCCTATCTCATTTTTTTTTTTTTTGTAGTGAGTTGATAGGGTGTGATAATTCAGCAGCAGGGGCTTCTAGCAGGGAGATAGCAGAGAACGTTTCACAAGCATGTCATTCTTAATGTCAGCAACCCCGAACCTCCTTGCGATTAAACAATCATTAGCCAAAGGTCCCGGGACAGAGAGATGCATGTGCTTGTGAAAATGGCCTCTGCAAACCTCAGGTACATGCCATCTCTGGCAGGAGATCCCTGGATGAGTGGTGTGAGCTTTACCCTGGAAGGCATAATTAGTCACCATTATAGTTATCACCAGTGGGGAGGGCAGTGTGTAGGTGAAGATATCATCTTGGGCATTCCTCTTTTGGTGTGACATTAATTGTTCAAAGTTATTTCTGAGAGAATCTTTCTCTAGGTTTTTTCCATCATTGTATATCCATGAAAGAAATGTTTTGATCATTTTGGCCAAATGGTCTTGTTTGTTAGTCAAGCAGTGCTAGTTGTCATGTATATAGGCAATACCCCATTGGCCTGCAAACCCAGAGGACTCAAAGCTGGAACTAGAGATGGAGGAGAACCTGACTTTCCTTCTCTTTTTCTTTGATGTTGTACTCAGCACTTTGACTGCCTCCCTGATTCTTTCTGATGGCTCTAGGTATTCTGTGTCCCATTTCCTGGTTTCCAGTGCCATATTCAGGGACCAAGGAGAGGGCTTTTTGAAGCTAGCTGTGGCTCAGATAGAGTTAAGTGTGGTGGCATGCATACACACAGTGGACTCACAATATGACTTACCAGCTTTGATTTTACCACACTAGTTGTGTGACCTTGGGCAAATCTCTTCCCTTCTTTGAGTGTCACTCTTTTTGTCTATAGCATGGGAATTGTTATATCTATCTTGAAGACTTCTTGTGAGAATCCTGTTAAAGCAATTTTTCCAAATTAGTTGGATTATAGGAATTACTTGAATGATTTTTTTCAAAACACATATCCCCAGATCTTCTAGTTTTCAACCTAATGAATCAGAATCTCCATGGGAGATGTGAGAATTTGTTTGTTAACAAGTGCCCAGGTAGTATATGATCAGGTGCCTTTGGATAACACTGCCTAACAGAATATGCATGAAAGTAGGATGTGACTCTGAGTGAGAGATGGGAAGTGTTTTAAGGGCCTAATGAATTTTTTGAATTTAAAAGTTGTAAACAAAAAATACAATTCTAAGGCCCCCTGCCATCTGAATGGACCCCTTCTCTTGGCCAAAGGCATTCCAGTGTTAACCTGAAAAACCAGTTCAGGCCATGATGGGAAGGTGGGGGTCAGACATTCCTCCTTATACAGTCCTCCCTTTTAGAATTCAGGAAAAGCCAACTAACACTAACATCAAGACAGACCTTAAGTCTCATAAGAAATGTTTACAATCTATTCTCTCTGAAGCTTAAGTGGAGGCTTCATCTGCATAATAAAACCTTGGTCTCCACAACTCCTTATCCTAACCCAGACATTCTTTTCTATTGATAATAACTCTTTCAACCAATTGCGAATCAGAAAATTTTTAAATCTACCTATGACCTGGAAGCCCCTGCTTTTGAGTTGCCCATCCATCCAGATCAAATCAGTATTAACCTTACATGTATTGATTGATGTCTTGTGTCTCCCTAAAATGTATAGAAGCAAGCTATGCCCCGACCACCTTGAGCACTTGTCATCAGGACCTCTTGAGGCTGTGTCATGGGTGCATCCTTAACCTTGGGAAAATAAACTTTCTAGATTGATTGAGATCTGTCTCAGATACTTTTGGGTTCACAAAGTGGAGGGCGTCTTGTTAACTTATCAGAACATGCTTGGGGGCTTCTGGCCTTGCCTTTGACAATCTCAAACCTTGAGGAAGCAGAAAGTTTAATGCTCAGAAATGATTTATTGGCTGTCTGGTCATCCCTGCCATTTTTATTGGCTGTGACACTCATGACTCATTCTATTTTCATTAGTATAAGTTAATCATCCCCTTCCCTCACTCACCCCATATTTGTGAGCACCTTCAGAGACCTCCCTTCCCATTTCCCTCTCTTCCAGAGAGCAAAGCCTGTGAACCTTGGGTACCAGGTTCCTCTTGCAAAGGTGGTTGCCCTTTCCCCTGGCCCACTTACAGCTTGCATCTATCTTTCTCTCTCCTATTTACTCAATATTTCTCCCTTCTGTATTTCTACTTGCATATTAAGGTGAAACAAGGAGCCCCTCTGAGCTTTCTTGATTATAGATGGAAATAATGACAACACCTGCTCCATGGGGTTATTGTAGAGAAAGCTTGTAACACAATGCTGAGAAAGCTTTTTAAAGGTGTTAGCGATTTCATTTAGTTCCCTTTCTCTATCAGTTTTGGCAATGAGTCTTCACATTAAGCATAGAGGAAAGAGGGAAGTCCTTGTGGTCAGACTGACCTTGTTTCAGTGTCTCCATCATGTGCTGTCTACAAGAACCTGGAGCAAATTATTTACCTCCCTAAGCCTTATTTCCTCATCCATAAGCCCTCTCAGGGCTATTAAAAGAGTTAGAGGTTCTCTGGGTAAAACATGTAGCACATAATATTTACACAATAATGGGTTCTTTTAATAAAAAATCCACATTGTCTGTTCCCTTTTCTAGAGTAAGGAAGATGAGGGTCTGAATTTGAATATGCCAATTCCAAAAAAAACTTTGGGTAATAAAACACCAGCCTGGCATCCTCTGGGCCAAGGAGAGGTTGAAATTTGGTGTTTATTTGGCTCTTACATGTGATTATTTTGGGAGGCTTTGGGGAAAATGAGTGCCAAAAAGGCTAGAGAGTCTTTTTAAAAAATATATTTTAGTAGAGTTAAGACTAACAAGTGATTGAATTTCACGTTGTCTAAAAGCTTTCAAACTTGTTTTTGGCAATGACAATGTGTAAGAACACCTCTCCTTTCTCTCTTCCTTCTGCATTTTCCTCTCCTCTCTTTCAGGTTTTGTTTTTGTTTTTTTCCCCCATTCTCCCCTTTTATTGTTCTCATCCTCCGAAATATGGCAGCTACTTTTGTTTATCTGGGTCACTGAGAAAATCACCAATTGGCCCATGATTACTTTGTAATTCAGCTCCATTCTTTTTCTTATATTAATGAAAATAAGTATTGCTATTTTTGTTAATAATAATAATGGTAATTATCATTTATTGAGTGCCTTTCCTTTATCTGTGCTAGGCATATTTAGCAAATGTT